TGTGATCTTGGCTATTGAGAAACCTAATATAGAATGTGCTCAGCTTCCAGTGGGAAGTGAGACACTATCTGAAAATAACCTGCAAAAATCAGGGCTAGAGTTGTAGCCCAGTGTTAAGAGTACTTGGGAAATACAAGACCCTGATTTCAAAACCCAGGTATTTCTTGGATGGGCTCAAAGGCTCATGCCTATAATCCTAGTTATTTGTGAGGCAAAGATCACACAGTTCAAAGATTAGCCCAAGGAATATGTGAGCCAGAACCAACAAGCAAGTAAGGTGCTATACATCTGTAATTTCAGCTATGGGAAAACATGGTATCATTTAAATCTGAGGCTAGCTTCAAGAAAAGAAAAAGGAGATAAAAGAAAGAATACCTTTTCAAAAATAACTAAAAAGCAAAATGAGTTCAAGTAATAAGAGTACTTATTAGCACAATGTCCTGAGTTCAAACAACAGTACTGCCTCTGCCCCATCCAAATAAAGGTGTTTTCTGTCACTTCTATCCTTGTTCATACCTGAGCAGCAGTAGCAGCAAAAAGTAATCAAAGGTTTCTAGTCTGCCCTTAACTCTTCAATCAGGCCAAACATGTTTACTGAGCAGCTAAAATATTCATGCAAGGTATTGGGTTTTATGAACACAGAGATATGCATAAAAAACACAGTTCTAGCAAAGCTCACAGACCAGTGAAGAGGAAAACTAAGCCTATAATTACAAATGATAATTACTTAATGTAGACTCTGGAAAAAGGTCCTATGAGAAAGTTTAATCAAGGAGACTAATTTTAGACTGAGAGATCATGGCAGAGTTTTCAGGAAGTGATCTGAAGATGAGGCCAAAGAGACAAGCAGGTATTGTTCCCTCTTGGCATGTGATTTTTTTCTGCCAGGCTTCAATGTCTCTTGGACAATAACCACAGTAAAAAGTACAACTTGTCAGGGAATCCCAGGTTCCTCACAGGGGCTTGCTTACCCAGCCAGCACATACTCGGCTCTCTGAACTCTTGATCCCCTCAGCTACAGCATTCAAGTGTACACACCACGTGGGAGATCTAAAGCAGTGATGCCAGGAGCACTGCACTGGCTCTGGTGTGCATGCCAGACTCACACCCAAATGGTCAGCTCAAGGAGAGCAGGTGGCTGTCTTGGCTCTTTATCTATTGCTCACAAATGTAAACAGGTCCTTGAAGTCAGCTCAACTCATGGCCACTGTTCAATAAACACCTGTTTAATGGAATTGGACTTTATCTCAGCATGTAGTAGTGTGTCAGAAATCTGATCTAATATCTAATAAGGACCAAGTTAGACAAAGTAAGTGTGCTTTAGCACTGCAGAGACAGAAGCGAAATGGCCTGACAAGCTCTGTGTCCTGAAGCTTTAAAGAATCCAGCTTGTGCCACTGGATGGAATTGGTAAAGCCACACAGTTCAGAGACTCATAAACTGTAAGGTGCAACATTGATCAACACTGATTAACATAACAGCAGTTTACTTTTTTCCCTGTGCCAGTACTGAGGCTAGAAGTCAGGGCCTAATGCTCTTGCTTGGCTTTTTTACCCTTAATAGGAGATAAGTTCTCACTGATGTTCCTGTCTGGGCTGGATTCAAAACACGGTCCTCAGATCTCAACTTTCTAAGCAGCTGGGATTACAGGTGTAAGCCACAGGCACCCAGCACTCCCTCCTTTGGAGAGAGGGGAAAGACTGTTTTCAGTGTTGCTTGACCTAGGATGCCTTACATTCTGACAAGTCCATCATAAGGTGAAAATATCAAAAGTCAAAATATATTTAATACATCAAACTTGACAAACACGATAGTTTAGCAACTTGGGCACAGTAGGTATCAGCAATTCGATTGTGTGGCTGACTTGGAGCTGTAGCTACAGCCCTGCCCAGCATTGCCAGTGAGAGTCATCCTGTGTGTGGCTGGACTAAAATGCACGTACAGTTTTTATTAACTGTGGACTGTTTTTGTACTATCATAAGATCAACAAATCATGTAAGCTTGAACCATCACGTTGAGACCATCTCTATAGAGAACCATGCTCTGCTTTCAGAAACATTAAAGGGTGTCCAACACCAAGGAAGCTCAGTATTAATCACCACTTTGCAAGGTACTTACAGTGAGCTTTATTTTCCTCTTCAGTCTGCTCCATGTTCATACCTTTTTCATTGTGGGGGTGAGAAGACAATAAAGCATGAAATTATACTTGTAAAAGTTAGTTGTTCTTGTATGGGCCTGTCATCAAGGTGCCCAGCTTCTAGCAGGTGAAGTGACAGGCACTCCACCCACGCTAGATCACTCAGGCATGATGACAACGATTAAAGTGTACAAAGCTGGGCTACAAGTGGCTCACTCATTGCAGAGAGGGAAGGAAGGGATGCCAGTAAGAGTCTGCCACAGGCCCTCTATAACTGTGTGGGGCCCCGTTGCTCTCTGCTAGTTACAGCCAAAGAATTCTAAGTAAGAAAAGCCCATGGGTGAGGTACAAGAAGAATTAGAGCAAGGAACACAGGAATCTTCTGTAAGTGGTGCTATGGCTCAAGTGGTAGAAAGTAAGCCTTGAGCAAAAGAAACTCAGGGGTAGTACCCAAGCCCTGAGTTTAAGCCCCAGGACCAGCAAAAATAAAATGAAATTAAAATTAAAATTACTCTTTTTTAATTTTTATTTATTTTTTATTGTGAAAATACTGTGCAGAGGGGTTACAATTACATGGGCAAGATAATGAGTACATTTCTTATCAAGCACTGTAGCCTCCTCCTTTGTTTCCCCTTCCCATCCCTTCCCATCCTCCCCCTGCCCCCCCAAAAAAATTATTCTTAAAAAAAATAAAAGCCAGGTGCTGGTGGTTCACACCTGTAATCCTAGCTACTCAGGAGGCTGAGATCTGAGGATAGTGGTTCAAGCTAGCCTGGGCAAGAAAGTCCATGAGACTCTTTTCTTCAATGAGCCACCAGAAAACCATAAGTGGAGCCGTGGCTAAAAGTGATAGAGCTCTAGTCTTGTGCAAAATAGTTCAGTGATAGCACTCAGGGCCTGAGTTCAAGCCTCACAACCAACCAGGGTATTGAGAGACATGATATAATTAATATGTGTAAAAAAGTACCTTTTCCTCTAGTGAGATCATATCAGATACTGAAAGGGGTTCTGGCTGAAAAACCAGATTAGAAACCATCAATCTCAGAGAAAAATTTTATTTTATTTTTTGAGTTGTTAGGAACTGAAACTGGAGTGTTATATTTGCTCTACAACTTAAGCTACACCATCAACTCATTTGTTTTTATTTTGTTTTTGAGATGGATGCTTGTTAACTTTTCCTCTAGCTGGCCTTAAATTAGTGATCCTCCCAAACTCTTCTCAGATGCTGAGATTACAGGCATAAATCACCACACCCAACTCAAAGCAGTTCCTTTTTTTTTTTTTTTTTTTTGTCAGTCGTGGGGCTTGAACTCTGGGCCAAGGTGTTGTCACTTGCTCTTCAGCTCAAGGCTAGCGCTCTACCACTTGAGCCTCAGCACCACTTCTGGTTTTCTGAGTGCTTTATTGGAGATAAGAGGCTCACAGACTTTCCTGCCTGGGATGGCTTTGAACTGCGATCCTCACATCTCAGCCTTCTGGGTAGCTAAGATTACAGGCGGGAGCCACCAGCGCCTGGCTCAAAGCAGTTTGTTAACCAAGGTCTGTGGATGAATGTGGATTGGAAAAAATTAAATTTTGTTCATAATTTTCATTCATATTCCCTTAATTATGAGATTAGGCAAAACCACAGGACTGTCAGCAATACCCTTTGCACCTCTCACTACTTTATTATTTTTTAATTTTTAAATTAACTTTCAAGTAATTGTACAAAGGAAATTTCAATTCAACATATCCTCTGCTTTAAAGCATAGCATTATTAGGCTCATAGCTAGATCTTGATATTCAGTATGTTGATAAAGAAGCATATGTATTTCTTAATCATCAAATGCTTTAATTTTATGCATGTCAACATAATTGGCTTTCTTTTTTTTAATTTTTTTTTAATTTTTATTTTTTATTGTGAACATACTGTACAGAGGAGTTACAATTACATGGGCAAGATAATGAGTACATTTCTTATCAAGCATTGCAGCCTCCTCCTTTGTTTACCCTTCACATCCCTTCCCAGCCTCCCCCCAACTCCCTACCCAATCCTCCCCCACCACCACCAAAGTTGTAAAGTTCGTTTTCGACACGACAACTTGTACTTCTCATTGTTGTAACGGGTCCACAGTTATCCTTAAACAACTTATTTTTCCCCTTCTCCTCCACAAATTATACCGACATCAAATATAGTGAAAGCAGGGGTTATACTGTGGGGGAGGGACATACAAAGCAACAAAGAAATAATCTTATAAATGTGTTAGAAACAAATGCATGAAAGAAAAAAAAAACATTTAAATACATATCTAAGGGTTCATTTTCCTTACATCACATTATCTGACCTTTTCTGCTTGACTCATACATATATCGATATTACAAATAAGGGAAACCATGGGACCTATGTTTCTTTGGGCTTGGCTTACTTCACTTAATAGAGACCCGGAAACACAACAAATCAAAGAAAGGTTGGACAAATGGGATTGCATGAAGTTGCAGAGCTTCTGCATGGAAAAGGACATAGCTAGCAAGATCAATAGAAAGCCCACAAATTGGGAGAAGATCTTCACTAGCCATACAACAGACAAGGGTCTCATATCTAAAATATATTTGGAACTCAAAAAATTAAATCCCCCAACAACAAATCCTCAAAGAAACAACTGCCCAATAAATAAGTGGGCTAAAGACTTAAAGAGAAACTTCTCTGAAGAAGAAAGAAGGATGGCCAATAGACACATGAAGAAATGCTCAACCTCCCTAGCCATAAAAGAAATGCAAATCAAAACCACCTCACCCCAGTTAGAATGGCAAAAATCAAGAACTCTAATAACAGATGCTGGTTGGGATGTGGACAGAAGGGAACCTTACTTCATTGTTGGTGGGAGTGTAAACTTGTTCAACCACTTTGGAAAGCAGTATGGAGGTTCCTCAAAAGACTTCACATAGGACTGGGAAGATGGCTCAGTGGTAGAGCATTTGCCTTGCATGCCTGAGGCCCTGGGTTCGATTCCTCAGCACCACATAAGCAAAAAGAAAAAAAGCCAGAAGTGGCGCTGTGGCTCAGGTGGTAGAGCACTAGCCTTGAGCTGAAGAGATGAGGGACAGCGCCCAGGCCCAGAGTTCAGGTCCCATGACTGGACCCCCCCAAAAAAAAGACTTCACATAGAGCTCCCCTATAACCCAGCAATCCCACTTTTGGGCATTTACCCAAATGTTTACAAACAAGATCACACTAAAGCTACCAGCACAACTATGTTTATTGCAGCATTATTTACCATAGCTAAGATATGGAACCAACCCAGATGCCCCTCAGTAGATGAATGGATCAAGAAAATGTGGTATATATACACAATGGATTTCTATGCCTCCATCAGAAAGAATGACATTGCCCCATTTGTTAGGAAATGGAAAGGCTTGGATAATTGGCTTTCTTGTCATCTGTGTGCTTCATTGTATACGAAACATTATTTAGAGGCAAGACTAAAATTTTCATCAGGCAAATGAAGAGCCTCCAAGACAATAAGGTAAAAGGCCCCTTGGGAAAGTCTTGGTGGGCTGGGTTCCCTATCCCTTTCTATCTAGTCCACAAAGCTCAGTTCTATCTGGTAGTTCCTTCCTTTCAACCATCAATCATCCTCACTCTGAACATTGCTATCTCCAAATCTTCCAAAGCAGCAGCCATTACCTGATGTCCAGAGAAACAAGCTTATGTGAGGCACATATAAAAACAAGATAGGAGGGTAGACAGAAGTGGTAAATCCACATGGATGGAGTACAGGTGTTTGGTTGTGAGATCTGGGGGGAGGAGAAGTGGGAGAATATCTGCTGAATGAATGCTAACCCTTTTATGGGTTCAGCCTTCCTTTTGGGCACTAGGGGCTCACACCTATAATCCTAGCTATTCAAGAGACTGAGATCTGAGAATTGTGGTTCAAAACCAGCCTGGGAAGAAAAGTCTATGAGACTCATATTCAATAAACCAGCAAAAAGTTGGACATGGAGTATGGCTCAGATGGTATAGCTCAAGCCTTGAGGAAAAAAGCCAAGCAAGAGCCCAAAGCTTTGAGTTCAAGCCCAACTACACACACATACACACACACACACACACACACACACACACACATACACACACATACAAGAAAAGAATAAAACAAAAATGCATCAGTCACTTAAAACCTCCATAACAAATTCTCTTAGGAACGTTTTAAGGTCTCATTTGGGAGAATATAGAATGCACAATCCAAGGTTTAATGGTATTTTGTTTCCCACCCTCCCCTCAAGTTTCTCATGTACTCTGCAATTTCAGATCACTTATAAAATTGCTAATGTGTACTTAGGTCTACACAGTACATTTTGGTTTGCACTTATGCATATTAAACAACACCACTAAATACTCATTGGACACACTGTATTTTAAAATAGGTTTTATTATGCCTGAATGTATTTTTAATACACCTGCTAAATTCCACCTGGACTGAAGAATGGCTGGCAATGACAACTGATAGGGAAGGGGGCACAGTCTGAGCTCCTTATCCCACACACTCTGCCCAGCATGTGGAGGGCAGTGGTAGCATACCCACCTGCCTGATAGCTCTGGGAAGCTCTAGGGAAAGTTGCTTCTCATTCTGAGATTTGCCCCACCCAGGCTCTAAGCTTAGCCCACCAGGGACAATGGTCCCCCTGAATCTGTTCCATCAGTCCCTCTTTGCCAGTCTTGAATTTCCTTTTCTTGCTCAGAAACACGGGCAGACACACATTATCCATTGGATAGTGTCCAACCACCTCATTCCAAGGAAGAGTGGCTATTAGGAAGGGCCCGAATAATACAAAGTTCACTAATCAAGTATCCCATTTAACTTTATGAACACCAACCACTACGGTGTCTTTTCTGGCCACTTAGTAGATGACAATACTGGGGTGGCATTATCTAAATCCCACACTAGGTGCACCTTCACCTCATTTCCCTCCACCACCTCTAGACTCTATTGAGCTGGGCAGACATCTCTGCTTACCGTCTCCTGACTGTGTCAAACCTAGTGTCCACCTGCCTCCACCCAAAATGCCCCAACTCTGCTTGTTCTAAATTCTACTCATTCCTTGAGATCTGGCTCCAGTTTTCCTTTTTTAAAAAGCTATCTCAGATCCCATTTCTCTCTCTGCTTCCTCTGAGTTCTTATTTACTATACCAAGACTCCCTGAGCACAAGCAGGCATCCCCTGGCATGGAGCAGGTGTCTGGCCTTCTCCATTAAACAGTCAGCTCTCTATGGGTAGGAACTGAGTCTTACTCCTCTTCTAGTCCCTACATTCCCCAGTAGGATGAAAAGATGGAAACTGCTTGATTTTCTGAATCAACAAGAGATTGATTTTCATTTTAGGCCAAAACATCCATTCTTTTCCCAGCTTCTGCATCTCTCTCCATTCTCTTCTAGGTCCTGATATCTCCCCACCTACCTCCAGCTGCTGTACTCTTCTCTCTACTCTCTAGCCATGTCTGATGGAGCTCCTAGCCATTCTATCCAGCCTGCTCTGAACAGATGGGCCTGCCATAGTCTAGCGCTGCTTCCAGCCACATTCTCTCTCTTAGATGCAGCCAGGTTCCTTTGCAGCTAGCATATGAAAAGGCTCTTTTTCTTTTTCCATATCTAATGACATCATCCTTTTCTGACATTCCTTTTCTAGCATCCTTTTCTTGGGGAAAAGTCCTGGAACATAAAACATGGTTTCTTGAAAGCAAATACTTGTACCCTGTCTTCAGCTCTCCAGTGGCTGCTGAGGGGTGGCATGTGAGTTATGTTGGCAGGAAGGAGCTCTTTGACATCAAACCACCAGGAGAAGGAATGGAGAACATGCGTAGAAGACATGGCCGTCTGCGTCACATTATTTCAGGGATGCTGAAGACTTGCACCATCATTTTTAATGGTTCCTTTCATGTCCCAAATTCCTCTTGATTCAGTTCTTCTCCAGATACCAAGTGCTCTGCGTCCATCTCCAGAAAATGGCCCCATTCTGTTTGGCTTTCCTTTGAATCTATGTCTCCCTAGTAGTAAAGGCCATGTGTCAACATTCTCACTGCAAGGGAGGCTGGGAAAGTGGATTTTTTGGCATTGGGAAGGAACAACTCCTGATGTGGAGATTTCCCTAAGTGCAGGAAAGCTTTCAGAAAAGGCTGAGCAGCCATAAAGCACATGGAATGCCACAACAGTTGCTGTAAAGCTTTTCAATAAAAAATAAAATTTCCACAATATTGGGAAGACAGTAATACTTGTATGCTTCATGGAAAAGTCATAGGAAAGCAGAATGGATAGCTACATACAGTTCCTATGGAAGATTAATTGGAGCTATTTAACAGACAAGAGAATGAAGAGATAAAATAGTTAAGTTCATAGTAGGGTATGAGACTAAGAAAGCATCTACAGATATCTAGAGAGGGAAGGACTGAAGATGAGTAGGAAGAGGCAGAGCATTTGATAACAGGCCAGCCTGATCCACCCAGGCCAAAAAAAATGTAGGTCTCCCAATGGACAGCTGGAAGAGATGAGTTCAAATAAGCAGCTGGTGTCATGTGAAACCAGAGGCAAGACAAAGGAACAGCAGTAACCAAGAGGCACAAGCAGGCACAGTGTAAGTAAGGATGCTTCACAAGCACCCAGACCCCACAGGCAGACAGAGTTCCAAATCGTCCTTCATATGAAGGGAAGTCGACAAGTGGTCTGAGAAGTAAGGAGAGTGACGGACGGACTGGGTAGGCTTTTTTGTGGTTGTTCTGGTAGTGGGGCTTGAACTCAGGACCTTGTACTGACATGAGTGAAAAAGCCAAGTAAGAGAACTTGTTTTCACTCAAGTCTAGAACTCTACTACTTGAGCCATCCCTCCACTTCCAACTTTTTGCTAGTTAATTGGAGATAAGAGCCTCACTGACTTCTCTGCCCAAGCTGGCTTTGAACCACAATCCTCAGACTGAGTAGCTACCAGCTACAAGCACTGTGCAGTTTCTTTACAAACACGTCATTTATGAGGAGTTATTAGGATCAGGAAGAAGGAAGAAACACATCTGTTACAAGAGAAAAACTCAAAGACGTGCCAGGTTCTCATCTGTTTGTTTTGAATGGGAGTAAGATACATATAAAACTTACCATGTTATCCAACTTCAAGTGTGCAATTTAGTAGCATTCAATATATTCATAAAGTTGTGCAATCATCACAATCATCTACATTCAGAACATTTTCATTATCCCAAATGGAAACTCCATACCTATTAAGTAGTCATTGTCCATTCCTCACTCTCTATCAGTCCCTGACAACCACTACTCTATGGACTGTTCCTATGGATATGCCTATTTTAGATAGCTTATATGTATATAAAATATATGATAAAAATGTAGTATAATACAATAAAATATAAGATAATAAATATATATAAATACTACATATTATATATAATGATATATAATGTATATTGTATCATATATAATACAACATGTAATATATAATTTGTAATATATATTCTGCACATTACATATAACATATGTATAGCAAGTGTATTATATTACATATAAAATATTTATAGTATATTACATATAAAATAATATGACAATCTAAGATATAAATCATGTAATATATGACTATCTCTCCTATCTCTCTCTGTCTCTTTCTCTCTGTCTCTTGTTATTCCTGAGAAGCCTAACACTCAGGCACTCAGCATGTATCAGAACTTTATTTCTCCCGTTGCATGAGTAATGGATACAGTACATATGGTTTCTTCACTGGTGGACAAAGATTGCTGCCATGATACACCAGGCATTTAATCTGGTTCTACCACTTACAATACAGGTGTCCTGATCAGATCACCAACTCTCTTCAGGAATTATTTCATCTCGTGAAATTATTGTGAAAATTAAAGGAGAGAAAGTATGTAATACATGGAGGATATACAAAAGGCAATCAGGCCAGGTGTATTATAGGTTCACAGCTATAATCCTAGTTACTCAGTAGATAGAGATTAGGAGGATCGTGCTCTAGGCTAGCCTAAACATCAAACTCTGTGAGATCCAATCTCAACAGAAAATGCTAGGCATAGTGGCCACATACCTGTCATCCCAGCTAAGTGGAAAGTAAAAATAGGAGGATTTTGTTCCACACAAACACAAGCCAAAAACAAGACCCTATTTGAAAAATAAAGGAAGCAAAAAGTGCTAAAGCATGGCTCAGGTAGAAGATCACCTGACTGACAAGCATGAGGCTCTGAATTCAAACTTGAGTACTGCCTTAATTAATTAATTAAATACAGGAGACAGTCAGCAAGTTGGTTTCCTTTACTAGAATTGGGCTCCTGATCATCAGCCTAGTAGCATAACCCGCAACAGATCAGGGCTTTTAGGGGATAAAAAAATGGCTCGAGTGGTAGAATTCTTGCCTAGCAAGAGTAAGGCCCAAAATTCAAACCCTAGAACCAGGGTGACTCCTTAAACTCTCCCTCAAGTAGGGCAGGGTGAACACCAGCAGGAAACAGAAAAGAGGGAGAGTGTGGACCTCCACCTTATCCCCCTGCCCTTCCCTAGTGCGCATGCTTAGGAGCTAGGGATTCCAAATGAGAGTCCCCAAACACAGCCAAACTCTGCTTCACAAGGCCTCAAGCCCATAAATACCTTAAGGGTTTGGCTCACGTTTAAATGGTTATAAATACCACATATTTTGGTATTTTGAAATATAGGCATACACTACTACCATGTTTTAGCTTCAAGATAAGTGATTTTTTAAATTTATTTACAACTTTTGTTCAGATTACTCCATAGCATGTACTCACATTATATAAAACTTGTGAAAAAATAACACTTATCATTCCCTAAATCACAGCAATTTCAGAAGCTTACACTTACATTTTTTTTAATGTTCTGTAACTGTAAATGTGTCTCTCCAAGGTGTCATAAAAGGCAACATGAAAAATGAGTTTAAATGCACCAAGTTTTCCTGGCTAAAAGTACATGGACAAAATCACTTTTTCTACTTTCAGTGGTAAAAATCCAGGCTAGGCCAGAAATCCTAACTTGGATTTTTTTTTTTGGGTCCGGTCATGGGGCCTGAACTCTGGGCCTGGGCGCTGTCCCTCATCTCTTCAGCTCAAGGCTAGCGCTCTTCCATTTGAGCCACAGCGCCACTTCTGGCTTTTTTCTTTTTGCTTATGTGGTGCTGAGGAATTGAACCCAGGGCCTCAGGCATGCAAGGCAAGCGCTCTACCACTGAGTCACTTTCCCAGCCCTTTTTTTTTTTTTTCAGAAATCCTAATGTGGATGGGACAAGATCCTTCGAGCGAGCGTGCTTCAGGGACATGTCTGTGAACTGCTCTGAGCCTCAGCTTTCTCATCAGCATAATCCAATTATTCAACAGCTGCCTGGGGATAATGGTGGGCCAGGTACTAAGCCAGGTGTTGGAGGTCTAAAGGCGATAAGACCTGCATCGCCTACACTCAGAAAAACAGACTAACCAGAAAATAACAAGACCCTTGATACTGGCTATGTACCAGGGATTGTTTGTAAACTCCACACTAGATCCTGCTGGCGACTCTGTGGTAGCAGTATTTGCTATAATCTGGATGTTTATATCTCCTCTAAATTCATAATGTAATGCTAATCCATAAGTAATGGTAGGAGGTGGGGCCGTGAGGGATGATTAATTATAAGGACTCATAAATAAATTTGTATCTTTTAGAGAGACAGTTGGTGGGTGCTGGTGGCTCATACCTGCAATCCTAGCTACTCAAGAGGCTGAGATCTAAGGATCTCAGTCCCAAGCCAACCCAGGCAGGAAAGTCCATGAGATGTTTATCTCCAGTAAACTACTCAGAAAAAGCCAGAAGTGTGTGTGTGTGTGTGTGTGTGTGTGTGTGTGTGTGTGTGTCTGTGGTAGAGCACTAGTGTTGAGAGAAAAACCTCAGGGACAGCCCCTAGGCCTTTGAGTTTAAGCCCTAGAACAAGTGCAAAGAGAGAAGGACCCTTGCCTGGTGCCAGTGACTCACACCTGTAATGTTAGCTACTGAGATCTGAGGAGTACCATTCAAAGCCAGTCCAGGAAAGAAAGTTATGAGACTCTTATCTCTAATTAACTACAAAAGACCTGAAATACAGCTGTGGCTCAAGTAGTAAAACACTAGCCTTGAGCACGAAAGCTCAGGAACAACACCCAGACCCAAAGTTCAAGCCCCAGGACCAGCAAAATAATAATAATAACCCCCTTGCCCATTCTGCCCTATGGCATTACAGGGAGAACATGGCTCTCTATGAAGGAGCAGTTCTTCATCACACATTACATCTACTGGCACCTTGATCAAGAACTTCCCAGCTTCAAAGGACATGAAAATTAAATTTCTATTGTTTAAAAGCCACCCTGTTTATGGTATTTTGTTACAGCCACTGGATCAAACTAAGACCATACTATTTATAGATATGATGATGATGATGATGATGATGATGGTGATGATGACGGTGATGATGATCTTCTGAATTCACTGGTGAGGTATCTAAAGCACAGAACACTTTGAGACTTCTCAGAGTCATGTGGCGAGTCACTATCCTAGGCAACCTGACTTTAAAGAATCTATACCATTAATTACCACAAGATTGTGTTTTGATATAATTTACATGATACATCTAGATGCAGAAAGCATCTAGAGTATGGAATAGAGCAGAGCAATTAATTTTATATAAAAGAAGTTCAGCGTTATAGGTGGCATTAAATGTGACTATGTATCTCAGCCAAGAACAATAAATAGGATTTCAAGCAACAGGGATTGGAAAAAACAGGGATGATGAGCCAACAGAAGCAAACATCTGGAAATGCAGCAGAGTCAAGTGGCTTAAAGATACTCTGCTCCAAAATGCAAGGCCATGCTGGGGAAAGAGATATACAGGCACAGGACTGTTCTTTTTTTAAATTTTTACTTTACTGTCAAGGTAATGTACAGAGGGGTTACAATTACAATGTACACATCTACATTTCTTGTCAAACATTTTTACCCCCCCTCATTTTATCCCACTCCCCCTCACAAGTTATAAACTTCATTTCCAACATGTTGTCTTATGAGTATCGCTGTTGCATGGGTTCCCCTTTGTTCTTTGTTTCACCATTTTGTTGTTCCCCTTCCCTTCCCTAATTCAGGTAAACTTCTATACAATACCCAGCGTACCAAAATCAAATATAGTGACAACAGGAGATAAACCTTACGGGGGAAAGGGAGGAGGGGAGACAAAAGAAAAAAGAAATCACAACAACAAAGAAAAACCTCTTGTGTCCATGTCTTGGAGTTCATTTCAATTAGCATCATTTCATATGATCATATGTACATAGCTATTGAGCTACTCTAGGACTAGACATATACTAATTACTACAAATGAGGGAAACCACGGAGTCTATGTTTCTTTGGGTCTGGCTTACTTCACTTAATGTCTGTCCTAAAGCTCCTTTTAGTTTTTAATCCTATGACTAACTGGAAACTTGTATTTTTTTAATTATATTTTTATGACCTTTAAGCAATTGTACAGAGGAGTTATCATTCAACAATGCAGCTTATGAATATAATGTATCTTAATCAATGTCTTACTTTCATCATTTTCCCTCTCCCTTCAAGATTTGTAAAATACACATTGAATTTTATGACTGCATTTCACCCCTACCTCTTCATTTATTATTTATACCCCTACCCTTCATTTATTTATCCCACTTCCCCTTGACCACATCCCCCTCATCTTTCAAGTACCATTCTCCTGGTATTCATTTTGTTCGACTATGACTTAGTCTTTCTAAGGAATTACACCATTTGAATTCTCCCCTCAATAACATAGTCTTTAAAAAAAAACTGTTCTTTAGAAAATTCATATAATGTGTGATGCATTTCAATGTGCACTTTTTTCTGTCGCTTAGCACTTTGCCCTTGCTAGAGGCATTGTAGCACTTGAACCACACCCCTGGCTTTTATTTGTTTTGCTTTCACTATTTTTCAAATAGGGTCTTGTATGAATGCCAAGGCCAGCACAGACTGTGATCCTCCTATTTTTACTTCCTTTGTGGCTTAAGAAAGGCATGTATTATCACTCCCAGCATTTCACTGGTGAGATAGAATCTTGCAAACGTTTTGTCTTGGCTGGCCTTGAACCTCCATCCTCCCAGGCTCCACTTTCCAAATATCTAGGGTAACAGGCTTGATCCACAGGGCCAATTCTCAATGTGCATATTTCAGATACTTGATATTACTGAACAAACAGAAAGTATTAGCTCAGTATATAACTCTTTTTTGCTCTAATGTCTATGTCTCACGGTCCAGGTCTCCTTTCCTAGGTGGTACTAATTCAGTCATTACTCCCAGCCCTGCTCCACATTCATGACTGTGTCCAGCACAAAATCTATTGTGCATGATCTCACCAGCTTTCAGTACCATTTACAGGGTAGGCTTAATCTTCAGCCTCATTTCCTACCACTCTATCTGTCCTAAGAACAAAAAAAACCACCAAATCACTCCCCATCTGAGAGAACTATCCCAGTTCCTGGATTGTCAGCCTTACAGTCCCAGATAGTATGTTATACTTTGCTTTCGCAGCTTCTGCCCTAACTGTCGATTGGTTTTCACCTTACCATCTAGCCACCTAAAACACAGGTATATCTTTCTGAAGTTCACTTGAACCTGCTTTGCTTATGATCACAAATGCACACACACCAAATGTTCACATGAAAATCAGATCTATTAAATTTCAAATACTGATACAGGGAGAAGGTCATTACTTGTAAGAAATGTGTGTGGTATTTAGCATTATTACAACATATTCCTAACACACACATACACACACACACACATCACTAAATTCATATTGAGAACTTGTTTTGGAGGCTGGTAACAGCTTCCAAAGTAGCTAACAAGACAGTGCTGAAGGTGCCATTATCACAACGTTTATGACATGCTCTGGGTGGTGAAGTAGACAAATATCAGAAAAAGTAAACTTGAATAGGAAATAGTTAGTTCTATGTGCAAGAACTCTTCTGCAGGAGGGCATGTCATAATTATAGTGAACGTCTTAGATTTGGTTGTCAAGGACAATCTTTCCAAAGAGGTGACTTTAGTGCTGACACTTAAGAGATACCAACTATAAGAGGAGTTAGAGCCACCACATTCCTGACCAGGGCAAGTGTAAAGGCCCCAAGTGGAGAAAGGTCTCTGAAAATTTGATATAGAAGGGGAGGTATGACTGATACGTAAATTAGAGAGGAGGTGAAATGGGCTGCCATAAAGACTACATGAGAAAATACAACTCAAGTGCTTAGTGGAAGCTCAATAAATATTATCAACACCATTGTTACCACCATCACCATTACAATTACCATCCTAGTGTTGAGAGATGTGAAATAGATTGTGAAAGCTTATTGTCAGAAAATCAGGATTTAATCTAAAAGTAATTGGTGGATAGAGTTGGAAGAGATGGGGAAAATGATGGAATCTGTGACTATTATCCAAATGCATTTATATTTCTCCCTTAAGAATCTCACAAAGGGAGATCCTCAAAAGACTAAACATAGAGCTCCCCTGTGACCCAGAGATTCCACTTCTGGGATTTAGCCAAAATGACCACAAACAAGGCCATATTAAAACTACCAGCATGATGATGTTCATTGCAGCATTATTCACCACAGCCAAGATATGGAACCAACCCAAATGCCCCTCAATAGATGAATGGATAGACCCTATATGTAGTTTGTTCTTTCTCTCTAGTGTTTTTTTCTTCATTTCTCTTAGTTTTTTTGTACCTCATGTTTTGCATATTAGATAATGCAATATGTGGAAGGGAAAGGAAATTACAGAAAGGACAGGACTACGGATGAACCATGGCAACATTGATATTCACTTGACACTATGTTGGATATGAACATTACAACTGGGGAGGGAGAGGTATTGAAGGATGGGGTAACAATGATTGAAAACAAATGTACTTATTGCCTTACTTACGTAATTGTAACCCCCTGCTCAACAACTTTTCAATAAAATAAAGAATCTCACAAAGGTATTTTTCAACACTAGTGACCATTTCTCTGATTCTCTGGGCACAAGGTATGTGTCCTACAATTCCATTAAATTCTGACACCATGTGGAGTTAGTATCAAAGAAGCTAAGGGTACAGTCCCACAAAACTGCCTACTACAGATCCAAGTCACAGGGCCCTGACTAGCTATAAGTCAAGAGTTCTGCAATCCCCTTTTTGTATTTGGTAGTTTGCTAGAATAACGACCAGAACTAAGGAAGATAACTTACTTACCATTACCCAGGTATTCCAGAGAATGAAACTCAGGAGTACACAGGAGAGATACAGGTGGCAATGAAGGAGTAGGTACCTTCTAGGTACCCCTTACCAACCTAAAATCTCTCCAAACTTCCACTAACCAGAAATTTCTAGAGTGGTGTCTTTACACAAACACAATCATCTTTCTCCGATTGTTCAAAAGGGATGAAATTTCAGGCTTCTAGTCAAAGTTTGTTTTTTCTGATGAATATCCCCTATTCTAAAGCTATCTAGGGGCCTACCAGAGTTGCCTCATTAGAACAAAAAAAAAGTTCCTATTGCTCCTATCACTTGGGAATTCTTGTATTTAGGAGCTCAGTGTCAGGAACCAGGAACAAAGACTCTGTGTGTGTGTGTGTGTGTGTGTGTGTGTGTGTGTGTGTGTGTGTGTGTGTGTGTACACACACATGTTTTCCATAATCAGAATTGTGTGTATACATCTATACATATATATTTCCATAATCAGAACTGTTCTAATTAAAATACTTCTTTTCCAGAGAAGGCTATACTTCTTAGTTTATTTAGAATCAAATGTACAGATAAATAAAACATGTTAATAATCTATAAATAGTTGCTATGACCTACTAGGATGCCATCTGCCATGCTAGGAAAGCCTTGATTTTGTGAGATGATTCATTGACTTCCCTGAGAAGCATGTAGCCTCACAGGTCTATGATTCCATGCAGCAATCCAATGCTGGTGACCGTTGCCTTTGTATTGCCAAAGGCTTGGTTGGCATCATCCCTGGCACATAATAAACGCAAGAACAAATACCAGAAAAACTGTAGTAAGAAAGATCCTCACTCTTAAAGAGCTTGTAATGCAGTTGGAAATAAAATAGAGATATGAAAATCTACATATGAGTTCTTTTTTGCAAACCATCACGAGAGAGGTAAGACAAATGGCCAAAGCTTTTAGACTTTTGGGATGGCCTGGGCTGTACCAACATTTACTGTGTGTCTTTCAAGAGTTATTTCACTTCTTTATGCTTTCCTTCCCTTTTCTGCAAAGGGCAGTTGAATAAGTAGATAATTCACCTAAGTGCTTAGACCAGTGCCTAGAACAATGAAAATGTAATCAATTTGAATACCAAAGAGTATTCTGAGTAGTATTGGTATCAAGACTAAAATGTTTGTCTGGGTTAATAACAAGATTAATAATGAAGTGATGGAAAGCCTGTGTGATTTGGCATCCTATGAGCCTTAGATACTTAACCTTCAGCAGAGAAGTCTCAGGTCTTCAAAAGAACAACTCACATTGGCAGCCCCTGAGACCAACACCAGAACCTTGGGCCATGTTCTCAATGGGACCCTGCTGTGAAGTGTCAGCTTCAGAATGATCCTGAGGCATGGCTATGGCTGAAACATCTCCAAGAAACCAATTACTCTGCTTTGGGCTAGAGAAGGAGAGAGTGGCTCCCACTGCCAACTTCAGCTGGGAACCAGCCACATGTTGGCAGCCAGGCTCTGGGCAAATGTGACCTCGTGTTGAGTATTCTGTGCAGGCTTATCTCTACAGCATGTTTTTTGGCCTCTGCCACAGACAGTCTACAGCGATGAAACTGTGGCTGCTTCTTGAAGACAATGATGTATTTACCTGGGTTGCGGTGGCAATAGGTTACCTCTATCTTTCCTGCCTTTCACCTCTATTCCAGTTGTCCATGGCATCCTCCTAGCAATTCCCTTTACTGTTTAGGAAATGTCGTAGGCATCTAAAGCTGGTAACAAAAGCCAAATCATCATTCCCATCTTCCATTCCTTTCAAACTATCAATGGTGTGTCACAATACAAAAAGCAAGCCAGAGAAGCCCAGCAGAAAATAAGGTGAATGATGCCCAGTCCCTGTCACATCAAATTCTTTACCTGCTTTCAAATGTCATCTGACATGTTTGTAGAGCACATTTTATAAAACTACATGACTGATGCCGGGCGCTGGTGGCTCACGCCTGTAATCCTAGCTACTCAGGAGGCTGAGATCTGAGAATCGAGGTTCAAAGCCAGCCCGGGCAGGAGAGACCGTGAGACTCCTATCCCAATAAACCACCAGAAAACCGGATGTGGCGCTGTAGCTCAAGTGGTAGAGCGCTCGCCTTGAGCTGAAGAGCTGAGGGACAGTGCCCAGACCCAGAGTTCAAGCCCCACGACCGACAAAAAAAAAAAAAACTACATGACTGTAGGCTATCTGCTAATAGCCAATGCTGCCTAAATCCTAGTTTATGATGAAATCCATTGCTTTTTCTTCCAATTAGCTACTACTCCTTTCTACTTATATAGCCTTCATTCATGTAAGAACTTATCACTGATTTTTTCCTTTAGAATCGGAACTAAAATACCCTGGAAAGGAAGGCCACATGATGGAGTCTCTGCCTGCTTAGAACACAGCTTCCACACTTCCTAACTAGTCACTGAAGCAAGTCACCTCCGTAATCTATGTCTCAGTTTCCTTCCGTGTAAAAAATGGATAATTGGAGCTTTTTATGAAATACTAAGACGATCATACATTTAGAATATTTATAGGTGCAACTGAGACATGGATGTCCTTCCTGGTCATCTTCTAGGAATGCTTATACCCAAAGCCTCTAATCAGTTACTAGTATCATTATGACAGTTTATTGCTTAGCTCTACTGAGTTACAAATACAAATAGACATTTAGAACATTCTTTTATCAACTCAAGTATCTTTATTTTTATTTTGTTATTATAAATATGATGTACAGAGGGGTCACATTTATATAAGTCAGGTATTGAGTACGTTCTTTTTGGGCAATGTCACCCCTTCCCTAACTCTCTCCCACTTCTTCTCTATCTCCCAAGTCTTCCCTCTGTCCCTATCCCCCGCCTTGCCACAAGTTGTATAGTTCATTTTCAACATAGTGGCTAGTGAGTGCCACTGCTGCGTTTGTTCATCATTTGTCAACTTAAGTATCTTAATTTAAGATGACTATATTAATTGAAATTCTCCAGAGGAACAGAGCCAATAGGGATATAGATGCAAGGGAGGATTAATCATAAGAATTGATGCATTTGATTAGAGAGACTGGGAAGTCCTATGATCTGCCATAGACATGCTAGAGGCCAAGTGATTGATTTTCAAAACTAAGCAGAACAAAACAAAACTAGAAATTTAGAAAAAAAAAACCAGTGGTGTGATTTAATTAGAATCTAAAAGCCTAAGAATCAGGAGCTATCAATGTATTTTCTGGTTAAAGTCACAAGTAATAAGGTGCTAACATCCAGGGGAGGAGTAGGTGGCTATGTCAGAGTAAGCAGAGAGAGTAAATTTCCTCTGCTTCACCTTTTGGAAATGTTCTGACTATTATGATTTGAGTCTTAAGTTTTCCAAAGGGCTGCATGGTGAGCTATTGGGAATGTGTGGAATCTTGAAGGGTCAGGTCAAGTAGGAGGAGATATTAGGATCTTCACCCCTTCCTCCTACCATCCCTACTTCTGTTTCCCAGCTTCCATGAGATGAGCAACTCCACCACCACCCTCCACTACCATGTTGTGCCGCTGTACCACAGACCCAAAGCAATGGAGCCAAGCCCATGGAACTAGAGCCCCTGAAATCACAAACCAAAACAAACCAAACCTGCTTTCAAGTTGATTACCTCAGGTATTTTGTTCCCACAACAAAATTAACATACAGACCCTCAACAGATTGGGTAATACCAACCTCTGTAGGTGAGAGAAGTCTTCATTACCATTTTTCTTTTTTACTTCTTTCTTTCCTCTCCTGACTCACACACAAATCTCTTCCAGAAACACACTCACTCAGTTGTCATGTTTTACAAGCTATCTGGGTATCCATAAGCTCAGTCAAGTGGATATATAAAGTAGCAGTCACAATGATGATAAAGGTAGTATTAAGCTGGATATGATGGCAGGCACCTATAATCCTAAGTATGTGGCAAGCTTCAACAGGAGAGTCACTTGAGCCTAGAAAATTGGAGCAACATACTCACCTCAAAGAAAAAAAACCCACAATTAGTAGCAATGAATATTTATTTAGTGCCTTCTGTGTGCTGGACTCTATGCTCTGATATTTGTAAACATTTCCTTATTTCAGCTCATATATAATTAATGGATTCCAAAGGCTGGATATAAACTAGATTTAAGTTTTTAACCCATCTTTAGTGAGGATATTGGCAAGCATTTTTCTTTTCTTTCTTTCTTTTTTTTTTGTTGTTTTCTTTTTTCTTTTTGTCAGTCATGGGGTTTGAACTCTGGACCTAGTCACTATACCTCAGCTCTTCAGTCCAAGGCTAGCACTGTACCATTTGAGCCACAGCACCACTTCTGGTTTTCTG